TCATTTGAACCCAGAGCTCACCCATATGACTTGTCTCGCTAGCTAGCTTGTTCTGAGGATTCCCATCTTGCCCTTTCAAGCCTGGGATTACAGGTGTGCCGTTGTATCTACGTAGAATTTACAAGCCTTCTAGGGCTCTGAACTCCGGCTGCCACACTTGTGTAGCAAACACTTTATCCTGAGTCGGCTCCACAGCCCCTTGTGGTCCTTCCGATGTGTGAAGCACCCGTGATAGCTACTTTATTTACATGAACGGGAAGAAAAAGCGCGTCAAGCTAGACTGTGAGTGCTTCTGTCTTCAAGGGGAGGTGGTGACAGTTCATATCAGCAGGGTGCTGAACATTCGCTTTGGGTTTGCTAGAGCAAGAAGAAAGCATGCCTCAAGTGCCAAAGGGTGAGAGCCAGAGCAAGGGACCTTTTGTTTGGCAAAAAATAGCACATTTGTGCCTGGAGAAATGTAGGAATCAGGGTGGAATGTTAATTTGTCCAGGAGCTAGTTTGTAGGGAGGTGAAAAGTAAGCTTCTAGTCTCTCCTCTCTCTCTCTCTCTCTCTCTCTCTCTCTCTCTCTCTCTCTCTCTCTCTCTCTCTCTCTGTGTGTGTGTGTGTTTGCACATGTGAGTGTGTAGGACAAAAGGGAATGACCTTGAACTCCTGATCCTCCTGCCTCTACCTCCTGAGCGCTGGGACTATAGGAATGCACCATTAACTTTAGTTGTATGTGATGTCAGGGATTGAACCCAGGGCCTTGTGCATGCTAGGCAAGTGCTCTCCCAACTGTGCTCCATCCCCAGCTCACAAATAGTGAAATGTGAATGTCATGTGCTGGGAAACATGATTAAGATTTGTTTTCCCCCTAATTTCTATAAAAATGTAAAAGCTGTTCAAATTATACTCCCAGAACACAGGGCGGCAGGCTGGATGTGAGCCGCTGGCCGCAGGGTGCCTACCCTGCCCCATGCAGTCACTTATCAGACACTTGTGAGTGGATGGAGGGGTCTAACGGTGAACATCCATGAGGAGCAGGGTGCTGACTGCTGAGTGCTGATAAGGTAAAGGGTCAGTGTGGCGCTTTCCCTGAGAGGTACGTGCTGAGATTTACATAAAAACTCTCCAGACAAATTAGCATGCACAGTCCTTGTTCTGACAGGCCGTAATCAAGTGTCCATTTCCTTAGACAAATCACATGCCCCTCTTGGCCTCTCCTGATGCATGTTCATGAGCGTGTACGTGTATGCATTTGCGTGTCAGAAAGGTCTCATAAGTCATCTTTAAGGTTTTTTTTTTCTGAAATGCTCAAGATTCAATAGGAACAATTTTTAAGATGAATTTCCCTATTTATTCATGCTTTTCCTTGCTTCTTGCTCTGTTCTTTTTTTGCAGATTCTGTGTGTCCCCTTCTCCACACTTTTTAAGACATCTGTCTGTCTGTCTGTTTGCATGTGCACCTGGAGATCTGGCTTTGTGGAGTCAGGTCTCTTCAGCGTGTGGGTTCTGGGGTTCAAAATCCAGTCATCAGACATGATGCCTTTCCACCCCCCCAGCCTTCTCATCCACTCCACCCTCTCACGTTGACTCCGCATCTTTAAAGCTTCTCTGCCTTAAGGTTCATAGATGCTGTGTTTCAGAACATCCCAGGAAAAGAGGAAACAATCGAAATATCTAGGACAAGAAAACAAGCTCTCAAGAGGTGAAGTGTAGGCAGTTATTCTTCGTGTTCACTTGTAAAGCTTCATGATTCAACCATCTGCTGAAAGGTTTTTTCCAGATTTCTTTTCCTTGTTTTTTTGAGAGACAAGTGCAATGTTCTCATGCCCCCACCCACCACCCCCTTTTTCTTTCTAGGAAAAAAAAATAAGAGGAACTCATTTTTATTGAGATTAATGAAATCTCTTCTCTTATTGGCAACATGAGGTTTCAGCAGATCTCTGATCGCACGCTGAATGAAAAGTATAGTCAAACAATGGAGGCAGAGGCTGGGGGCTTGAACCCAATTTGGATTAGCATGCACAGCAGCAGGCATTCCCAAGTGAATGGCAACCAGTGTTTGGAGTTGGTGCTTAGCATCAGCCCCCGGGACCAGGCGATTGTTCTGCTCTGATCCAAGGCCTGTTACCCGGAGCCTGAGCCTCGCAATCAGATGCTCAGAGGTGACAGGCCTGCATCAAGCTGCCAGCCAGGTGGCTGAGACAGGCTATCAGGAAATAACCAGGGCAGACACCGAGCCAGGAAACTTAGGGAGAAATGTGGGGAGAACTGAGTTATGAAGCCTTGTATCCTTCCCCAAATCGCTGTTTCTCCTATAAACTTGCACAGGTCATGTTTGTGTCCCAAGTCCTTTACCAGCCTAGAGAAACAGAGGACAGGGTGGTGACACATTTGGGCACCCGCTCGCTTCTTTTTGGGTAATCACGGGACCATAGCACTTCCTGTTTCCTCATCGGTCTCCCTTCTTGTCATTAATTATTTCCTCACATTTTCAGGGGGTCATCGACACATCCGCTAACACTTGTGTTTCCTCACCTCCACCCCCGCATCACGCTTTGTTACTCAGCACAGTCAGCCCCACTGACTCCTAGAGCCCCCTGGAATTCTTCCACAAAGAGCTGGGTAGACTCCGATGCTGTATTTCCAGGGGTTCAACATGGTGTGGGGCTGCCGGAGACAGCCAGCCAAGCTTAGTTCCCCTCGGCTTCCCATCACTCTCCAGATGCTGTGCCAGCCTTACCCCATTCTCAATTGAGCAAAAGCCTGAGCGTGTATTTCCTCACTTGAAATTGCTAGGCAAAGGCCAGCATGATGGCCCAGTGGGTCAAGGTGCCTGCTCCCAAGCCTGGTGGCCTGGAGGCTTGTCTTTGTCAAGGTGGAAGTTGTCCACTGACCTCCGTGTGTGTATCCTGACATGTGTGCTCTCCCCTCACAGCATGTACACATACACACACACACACACACACACACACACACACACGCACGCACGCACGCACGCGAGCATACACACACACACATACACACGCACACGCACACGCACACACGCACATGCACACGGAAAATATTTTCTAGTATATCCCTAGATTCCCTGCATTCCCCATCCTTGCCTGGAGCCCCCATCCCATCTCCACCATCTATCAGCTATGAATGGCAGGGCTCCTGGGTGTCCTGTGAGTCTTCTGTGAATGACACCAAATGACAGTTGCTCATGGGAGGAGCCCGTGACTGCCGATTGAGCACTTGTTGTATACTAGGATCTGGACGGTGCTGAACGCTTGGTGCTTGTCTTAGGGAGTCCAGTCACGAACCTATTTTCAGACAGGAAGGCTTACAGATGAGAATGAGCATAACGGGAGAGTGGCCGAAGCGAGAGTCACATCAAGGCAGGTAGGTCTCTGTGCTTAGCTCTCTGCTTGCCAAGGACTCTCCCCAGAGACCAGAAAATGGTGGCTCTTCAGCACCATCAACCCTTGCTATAACTCGACGCTGCTTTCTTGAGCTGTGGTTCCCAGCTGTCACAGAGGTTCATGGGGGCTAGGGGAGAGACCTGAGAGAAGACTAACAAAAGCATAGGCGAGACAGCCCAGGTGCATGTTCCCAACACACTCTTGTGATAGGGGACAGTGGCCGCGGCCGCTGTTCCCACTTACCCCCGTGACCCCAAAGGGAAATTAAGGCTGCGCCAAGGAGGCTGTTTCTAACTTGTGATGCTCAGCAGCTTGGGCGGGTTAAATGCATTTAACCTGTGATACTTTGAGCGTGACTTAGAATGCAGCCCCATTGCAAGTCAAGGAGTTTTCGTACTACCAGCTCCCAAGAGAAGCGCTGTCCACGGGCTGGGGTTTCAGGCTGAGCCTTTGAAGTCTCTACCTACAGAGAGGAAGAAGACAGAAGCCAAGGCTGAGGTTACAGTAACTGCCAACTCTGGAAGCCAGCATTTCTCAAAAGTTGGGAGTCCTGGTGTCAGAATTATTTAGGGTAAAGTAGAAATCATCCGGTGTTGTTTACATGTATCTCCTTTACAGATAATGATGATTGGAGTGGAGACAAGAATTCCCACCCCCTGAGGACACTGAGATGATGGTTAGGGTACAGACAGCTTGTTCCTTGCTGTTCTGTTTACAGTGCTTCAACTTTCTTCATCCCATCCCTCCTTCCTTCTTAAGGAAATTATAGGATGCGGTTCTCAACCAGTGGGTCATGACCCCTTTGGTTGACTGTCAGATATCCTGCATATCAGATATTCACATTATGATTCACAACAGTAGCAAAATTACAGTCATGAAGTAGCAATGAAATAATTGTATGGTGGGCGTTAGCACAATATGAGGAACTGTATTAAAGGGTCGCAGCATTAGGAAGGTGGAGAACCGCTGAGGTATGACACTGTTTACCTCATGTCTGATAAGGCCAGGATGACTCTGTACAGAATACCAGACTCCTCTGAGTGAGACCAGGAGCACCAGACTTTGGCTCTGACTGCTCTGTCCACTCCATTCCCTAATTCTCCTCTACAGCCACCTGAAGCCAATTCTGTTACCCTCGTAAAGGTCCCTGACCTTTTCCTTGTCGGTGTCTCTGTGTCATAGAACGTGATTAGGATGGTCATTAACCATGGCAATGTATGGAAGTACAGAAAAGTGCATCTGGCATGTGGCATTCTTCGTGTTAAACAGGAGTTCTAAAGTTTCGACAATTTCATTTTTTTGCCTTAACAAATTGTACTGAATTATGTGCATGCCTGTGTGAGGAGGTGGAGGACACCGTGTGAGAGCTGGCCTTTGTGTTCTCGATGACAGCTGTTCTGACTGGGGGAGATGGAATCCTCACCTTTTGATGAGGATCCGCCCTTGACTTTTGTCTCTACCAGTTGATAGTGTACTGGTGTGTCTCTAAGTATCTGCAGGCAGACAAAAGCTGGGCAGACCTGTTTCAACAAGACCCCTAGAGAGTGATTGGACAATTCAGTTCGTTCCGCCAGTGTTTGTTTTGTGTCTTTAATGCTCCACACTGAATGTCTGCATGACATGCACAGGGTCTTCCAGCCAGGCATAGGGCTCTTCCTCCTTGTTAAGCTGGAACCAAGGGCTGCTTCTTCCCTGGCCTTCTTCATCGGGCTTCCTTGCATGGACAGCTTGACTACTCTACGTAGTTGAGAACTGAGTCCCAGCCTGCATTTCATTTTCTCCTTTCAAGCTGTACCTCTGGCTCAGCAAAGACCACAGGGCTTCCGAACAGTCCCAGTGTTCATCTTTTAGTGTCCTCAGACTTTTTACTCTGTGGCCACTCTGGTATGCTCCATCTGGGACAGAGTGGGGGTCACGAAGGGGGACACATTCAATGTTATGAACAAACTGTTGGTTGTTACAGAATTATTTCTATTGATCTGAGAGTCTGGTGTTGCTTCCGATGTCTGAGATCTAGTCTAGAATCACCATTTGCCTCCTGGTACTCCTTTTGTTCCATTAGGAGAAATGAATTCTGTGGCGTGAGACAAATAAATAGGAGAGCAATAAATTAATCATTCTGTTCCTGTAGTTTTTCTAAATCAGTCTCTTGATTCTCATTTTTAAATTTTGATTTTTTGTTTTAGAAATACTGTTGCAGTGGGAATAAAAGTCAAAGCAGCCAATCCCACTACTTTGAACAAATCAATAGCTTTTATTCTGTGATTCGGCTCAGTTCCCTTTAATACACAGATGCATTATTTTTATGTAGCATCATAGTAGGTTTGATACGAGCCATTGCAATAAAAAGTATGTCCAGCTGCCATTAATCTTTAATACTTGTTAGGAAATGTGCTTCCCATGTATTTTGGCTTGTTCCATCAACCCCATGAGGATGACTATGTACATTTTGAGGATGAAGAAACTAAGTGACTATAGTTCCTGGCTTTGATGGTCCAACAGCGATTGTCAGCTTTATAATGGAATGGAAGTATACCGCATAGCCTTTCTGGTTTTCACTTTCAGTAAAGCACATGAATTACTCAACACTTCATTATAAAGTAGGCCTTCTGTTAGACATTTGTGTCCAACCAAAATTGAATGTGTGTGTGAAGGGGTAGGCTGGCCTCCATCAAGATATGCAGTTTGACTTAACGATCTTTTGTCCATGTTCTGGATTTAGCAGGTACAAACCTATCATCAGCTGAGACATTTGTATTAGCCAAGTTCACTTCTCCAAAGTTATGTATTTAATGAGTAGGGGAACCAGAGCCAAGCTTCTCTCTCGCTGTTAAGCAGGGAATGACATGGCTGATAACTTCAAGCCTAAACTAGACAAGTATACCTGCATCCTTTGCTCCCCCTGACTTGAGGATGAAGAGTGGAGCTGCTGACCCCATGTAGTCCGGGACAAGGCTATGCTGGTGTAGAACTCTGAAGCTCCTGTGGAACTCAGTCCCACAGGGAAGACTACCACCTGTAAAATGGATAGACATTTATTTCTGAGTGTTGGTGAGATACTGGTGTCAATTTGACGTCCAGACTCTACAAAGATGGAATGCTTCCGGTTCAGCTCCACTGAACACAGCACCATGCGAACTTTCCTTACCTACATCATCCAAAGAGTCCTGCATAGATGGAGTTTCAGGGTTTTACCAAGTGTTGGGAAATGATGATATACAGAGGCCAAGAGAACTGATGTCACAGGGCCACCCTTTAGTTCGTAGAAGCAGAGTGAGGCTGGAATCTCCCATCACCAGGCAAATGAGAACTGGTGGCTGGTAGCTCTGCACACTGTCCTTACATGACTTTTGCATTTGACATTCATTACAGACTCAGTTTGTTGAATGGATGGGTGGGTAGATAGAATTGCTTGTTTTGAGCAGCTGCACTCTCTCCTGCTGGAAAATGACTAAAATAAGAAAGCTCTTCTCACATTCTTAAATTTTCACAAGTGGAAACTGGATGTGTGAACATAAGTGTGTAAGAGAATATGTATGAGTCTCTGTGTAACTATAATATCTATCATCTATCTATCTATCTATCTATCTATCTATCTATCTATCTATCTATCTATCTATCTACCTATCTACTTTATATCTATTTATTTATCATCTATCTATCATCTGTCTGTTTATCTATCTATCTATCTATCTATCTATCTATCTATCTATCTATCTATCTATCTATCTATCTATCATCTATCAACCGTCTATCTCAGTGGTCCTCAACTGTGGGTCACAACCCTACAGGGGTCAAGTATCAGATATCTTGCATATCAGATAGTTACATTATAATTCGTAACAGTAGCAAAATTACAGTTATAAAGTATCAACAAAATAATTTTATGGTCGAGGGTCACCACAACATGAGGAACTGTATTAAAGGGTCATAGCATTAGGGAGGTTGAGAAGCATTGATCTTTCTGATTGTGTGAGTGTGTGCATCTCAGTGTGAGTACATGGGTATGTGCAAGTGGGTAGGTATGGTAGGAGGAAGTGTTGAAGAGTAGGTCAAAGGCCCCTTACTTTTGCAGCATTAGCTATACATTAAGGATGGCAGGCACTCTCTTAGTATTACATTACTTAGTATTATTTTCAGTGGTACACAGCAGAGATCAGAATTCACATTTACCTGCCCCAATAATAAGATTCAGAGCCACTGACCCTTCCCAAAGTCATTCTGCTGAGTGGCAGATCTGAGTCTTGTCTAAAGTTGGTAACCTTCTTACGATACCAGCCTTCCCAGCTTAGTGAGATAACAATAATACTAATAATAATACAACAGGGTAAAGAGGCTGGGAGACAAGCGCTGATGGAGTTGAGCTGTACTGGTCTTGAGAAATTTTGGAAGAAGAAGTAACTTCAGGGTCTGTGAGTAGGGATTAAGTACTGGAACATTTCAGGGAATAGAAATCTCCACAAGTATCTGGGCCTATCTGCCTGGCTTCACACAAAACCAGTTTCAGAGCTGGTGCCCAGAAGGTCACCTTTCTAGAAAACATCCCCAGTTGCCTGTTTGGTTCCAATAAGACTCTGAACGGAAGGTCCCTAACCCAGAGCAAGGATGCGGGCCAGGCAAATGAAAAGACACCGTTTTTTTAAAAAAACATAAAGGGAACCCTTTACCCCTTTGGTTTTAAGATCTCAGTATCCATGACAACTGGACAGAGTGAAGAAAATGGCAGTCCCTCCCCTCTTCATTGTTTGAGTTCTGTTGCTGCAGCAACTGAGTCTACAGGGCCCAGCCAGATTGTCCCGCGGCTTTCTTCTCTCTCTCGGTCCGCCTTTATTGCCGGCCGGCCCTCCTCGGTGCCAACGTGGCTTTGTCTTCCTCTGGAGACATCTGTGAGAACGAGGACGAGGACGGGCAAAGTGTCAGGCTCTTGATGCTGCTGAAAATCCTTTGAGATGGGAGAAACTGCTGAAACAAAGGGCAGGGAACAAAGAGGCCTGAACGGCTCCCACCAGCCTCTGAGGGTCTTTATCATCTTAAACCTTGGGATTTAGAGTGTCTGGCTCTGCCTTTCCCAGGGACAGTTTGGCAGGGATAGGAAGAGAGTGGGCCTAGGAAACGGGCTGGATAACAGCCTCTGAATAGAGAAGTTCCTGGGAGACAAAAGTCTGGTTAACTATGCATAGGGTTGCTCTCTTCCTTCCTCACCCCTCCCGCCAGAATCCCTTTCTCCCTCCACCTTTTCCTCTCTTGCGTGTTTCTGATGAATAATCTTCCACTTGGAAAATTCTAAACAAGGAGGTGGGTCCTCAGCATTCATCAGTCAGCTAGCTCCTTTCGATAATTTGTCTCAAGGAAACAATCGGATATTCATACAAAGCTTTGTGGGTTCGCACAGGGCTGGGATGTGGTGGGAAAATCTAAACGGACGGAGCATGTGTCTGATGCGCTGCACCCAGTCTCTACGTCGACAAAGCGGAGGCTTTGCTCTTCCTATAGCTGCGTGTTGGCCCCGTGCTGACTCCTGGAGATCCACGGCGAGCAAAACAGACACGATGTCTGTCCTGACTTCATTTCTGTTCCTATGACGAATGCCCTGGCAAATGTAGTTCAGGGAAGGAAGAGTTAGGTTTATCTGGCTTCCCGCTGAAGGTGACAGTCATTCTTGTGGAGAAGCCCAGGCAGGAACTTCAAGCATTGCACCCATAGTCAGGAGCAGAGAGAGAATAAATGCATGGATCCTTGCTTGCTCTCCTGCTTATTACTCAGATAGTTTTTTATACAGCCCAGGCTCTAGCATGTGGTGATTTCACCCACAACCAGGTTGGGTCTTCCCAACTCAATCGATAAGACAAGACTCCTCCCCGCTCCTCCACCATGTCAACAGGCCAACCTGAGGTAGAGAATCCCTCATAAAGACTCTCTTCCTATGTGATTCTAGGTCACGTCAAGTGGACAGTTAAAAGTAAGCATTACAGGCCTTGCCAGATAATGCAGACCTACGTGCAGATCGCAATTTGCAGTTCGTACTGTGACGGAAAAGGACAAAATGGGGGGCTAGGTGTGTGTGTAGGGGGGGGCGTGGTGAGAGCATATCTGTGGCCCTTATCCTCACTAGCTGCTGGGAGAGAGTTCTCTAAATGCCGGTGAACTCACAATGTAGGCGTGGCACATACCACCTTAGGCCCTCCTGCTTTGGCAACGTGCGCTCTTATTGGCCGAGCCGTCGCCCCAACTCAGGAAATGCAGAATTTGGAGGTGCTCATTAGAAGAGGGTGGGAAGCTGCGGGTCAGCCCCACCCAGAGCCTCTGGGAGACCACGGGCAGGTCCAAAGCACACTGAGGAGGGCCAAGCCGAGCCAGCAGAGAATGGTCTCTTCCCCAGGTCCCAGCAAAGGGAGTGTTGGGAATGTGTGCACAGCTGTGAGGGTGGTTGCTGACTTAGCATCAGGAAAGCCAGGGATTTGCTGTTTTCTTATGGCTTCGCATTTTTCAGAGGAGAGGCTGCCTATTTAAGTGAAAAGGAAGGAAGTAATGTGTGAAGGCGGTGAGGGAAGAGGGTTATAGATGAGGAAAGAAGAAATGTTAGTAACATAGATGAAGTGTAAAACAAGCTACAAAGTGACACGTCTGTATCAGAAAGTAAAACTGTACCATCTATGTTTAGATGTATAAGAATGTTATATATACATGTTCACATACACATACACATATATGCTATATACATACACACATATATACAGTTTCTGGTTAGTTAGTTAGATACTATACAATTTAAAATGCTTTATGCTTTTATTTTTCTTTGAGGCAGTGTCTCACTCTGTAGCTCTGACCTGGAATTTACCATGTAGATCAGGCTACCCTTGAACTCACAGGAGTGCCGGAGTGCTTCTCTACTTTAAGCTTTTTCTCTGTATTTTTCAAATTCACTAAAGTAAATTTACATTGCTTTGGTTCTCAAAAACAGACAAATAAACAAAAGAGCAAACCCCCAAATAGATTTTTTTCCACAAATGAGATAAAATAGTATATAAGACTATTGCTTTCATTTTTAAAGGAAAACTTGTATATTATCATAATGAAAATTATTGGAAAATTAACTGTCTTTAAATGTTTGTGACTTAAAACAGCAAAACAATCAAATGCTTGTCGATGACAACTGCCCTTAGCATAATGTAGTACGGTAGAGGCCATGATGTGCGTTTCAGGTTGACAGCCTTATCCTTGGATGCTTTTCTGCCTGGAAATCCAAATGTTTGCTCCTGGGGAGAGGCAGACAATGGCAGGGTCCCTGCTGCCTGAGGTCTACTGCTGAGCTGAAACCCAAGCACTGGATGTCATCTTTGATGACATCCTTAAGATCGGAGGATGACCTTAAAAATTAAGACACCTCTTCTAAAGTTTCTCCGGCTTGAACAAGTTATGTTAATGAAAACCACAATTACAATAGCAAGTGTGCATCTGTACAACCATCTAAACACGTAAAAACACTTGAAAGCGTTTGTTCCCCTTTCTTCATGTACCTTAGGAGCAATCTGTACGCATTGCTGCAGTATGGAGCTCACTGGAAGGAGACACAGGCAGGGGGTTGCCAGCACATCACATGTTATAGATCTAGCTCTATAAAATTATCCTAAGCATTATCCATGAAATCACTGTTAGCTGGCTATGTATAGCTAATATGCATTCAAATTAATGCATAGCTACCCAGACATTTCCATTTGTACCATTCAAAGTTCTCTAGTCTGTGGCACACTTAGGGAAGTGAGGCCTTAATGTAGAGCCTGAAGAATTTGCACACATCTTGCTCTGAAATGCTTCTCGGGAGGATGCACAGGGTGACCTTTGTAAGACCTTGTCTATAAGGGCACCAAAAGCCTGAGCCCACCCTGGGATGAAGGCTTGAGGTTGCAAACCTGTCTCAGCTGGAGAAAGACAGGGGCAGGACCTCTTACTCTGCCCTCTGCTGGTCCCACCTGACGTCACCCAGCCTTCCCAGTTGGGTCTGCAACTCCTCAGAATAAGGGAGGAAAAAAGGAAAATCCTTCCCTTTCTGAGCTGTTGCTTGTCCAGACAGAAGAGGCCGAGAGGCCGACTGCACAATCTTGAAATTAGGCATAGTGTCTCTCCATCAGAGGGAGGAGAAGCAGCCCCCGCTAAGTTAAATCTAGGCTCTGAATCCCCGAATCTAGCAGTGTAAAGGGTAGAGACATCCAGGCCCCACAGAGCCCTGAGCACTTGGCCACACCTCTGTGGTCTCACTTTCCTCGTGAGCCGCCTGAAACACCATATCACGTGGCTTTCTTTTCTGAACTCTCACCCTCAGACCATAATACTGATCAAGTGTGAGAGTAAGCCAGTCTTACAGTCTGTGATGTTTACCCAGCCTGAGTGAGAGCATATGAAAGGAAGTTTCCTTTGGGCTGTTGACTGATCAATGTTCCTGAGACACTTTCAGCCTCAGAGTCCTTTCTCTTTTGTGTTCTTAGAAACCCTCTCACGTTTGTCACGGATTTTTCCTGGTACTTATAAATTTCCCAGCCACGAAAGAACCAATACCCTCTACCTGGCAATGGCTTCCACTACATGCAAACTTCTACTCAGTGGCCCATAAACCCAACTGATTCCCTAAGCCGCTCTGATGTCTCTCTCAATCCTGTTTGTCCAGCCAAGTGGTGGGAATCAATGAGGGTGTTGAGAGGTATATGCAAGTGTGCGTGTATCTGTGTATGTGTGTGCCTGTGCATGTGTGTGTGCACATGTGGGCCAGGGAAAGCAGGGTAGAGAACGAACTGGTGTTCCTGGGTGTGAACCTCTTCTGGAGAGACAAATGTCTGTCACCACACGGAGATGGATGGCAGCTGATCCACTTTGTCCAGTCTCCTGGTACTAACGGTGGCTGGCATCTTCAGATGAGAGTTTTTTTTTCTTACAGCATCATGTGGGTTGAGAAAAATCTTTGATAGGAAGACACACTTGGATACTCTAGTTTCTTTTAGAACATTATATGTGGAGAAAATAAGGTTACTCCCCTGCACTTAATTTTATTTCTAACTGAATTAGAGCATTTGTAATTAAAAAACACTTTAAATGGGTCTAATAAATTATTTAAAATTATGACTAGGGAAGCAATATTTTGATCCGTAGTAGACAGAACCGTTTAATAAGAAGCAGGGTCTCTGGAAGGCAGGGGACAGCGCTGAAAACAGCCTCATTTTCACAGGCCTGGAATTCCCTTGGCTCATTTGTTGGGAAAACCTGTTAGGAATTGAGGGGAAAACTGAGGAAATGGGGATCTCTAGGAAGAGATGGAACATGATGTGGCTCCCACATGCCCAGAACCAGCCCAGACAATTTACAAGCAGGTATTTCTCATCCTCAGGAAATGCTTTGATTTTTTTTCTTCCTTTTAATTAGTTTTAAATAACTATTATTCCAGTGCATGAGACCATTTTTGTGTACATATATAATGAACTTGGAGCAAATTTACCTCCATTTCCCATTAACCTTCCTCTCTTTACCCCTCCTCAGAGCAGTCTTCTGTAGTAGGTACTGTTGTTATACCCATTCTATAGATTAAGAAACTGAGCCACAAGGAAGCACAAAAGCCGAGGCTGATCCCAGGGGCTTGGCTCTGCATCCCAAGGTGGTGTGCTCTGGCCCGAGGAGTCCAATAGTCAGAAAGGCAGTCAGGTAACAGAGAGAAAAGGAGGGGGTCTGAATCTGTGTAAGTGAAATGTCTGCAGGATTCTCAGTGGCACCCAGAGCAGGAGGGGCCCAAGCTGCCAGGTGAGAGACTAAATCGGCCTGGTGCCCAGTGCCCAGTAGATTTTTGTTACCTGGAGACTGAGCATAATTACATGAGGTATTGGTCTTGCCTCCTCGGTCACCAAGATTGGTCTTAACTCTTTGATTTTTCTTGCACTGGAGAAACCATGGGAAATGAGACTGCCTTAAACAAAATTGTTCAGTGTGTGGTGTGTGGAAAACTACAGTTAGAGAATAACTCCTATTGGCATCCATCCAGAGAGATTTTTTTTTCCTGAGGCTGGGGCCCAGCATCACAGTCTGTCTATAAAGCTCCTCCAAGGAGATGGTTTGCCTTCCTTGTCAGCATCCTTCAGCTCGCCAGCAAACTATGCTGTGTTCACTGCCATGTTGAGGGCTGACGGTGATGCTCTCATTGCCCACAAAACACACAGGATTCCAGTGAGCAAACAGCCTTGCTCAACCTGCCCAGCACCAGCCACAGGTATGCCGACAGGAACTTGGTGTGTGGGGGGGGCGGGGGGGGGGGACACGACACGCTGGCTCACAGGCTTGAATGGGCGCTGTTGGCTGGTGAGAGCAGATCTTTGCCTTCTCATTGCTCTCTACTCCCTGCCTGCTCCTCAACCTTGAGGCTCTGAGTCAAGTATGGTCAGGAGAGGCAGCCATATTGTCCCTGGCTGTTCATTTTCATCTTCAGATCCATTCCTTGGGTGTTTTGTTTTGTATGCAGGGACTATGACTAGTGGTGTTGTGGTGGACCTCAGAGGGAGAGGTCATGCGTGTTTTTCACCTGAAAAAATGGATACTTGCCATTTTAACACTGCTATTTGATAGATCACTCCCAAAACCATTGTGTCTGTACAGGCAACCTTCAGAGCAATTTTTAATTAGCTATCCTGAAACTCTTCCCTTTATCTGG